GTGTGTGTGTCTCTCTCTGTGAGTGAGTGAGTGAATGAATGAGTGTGTGTGTCTCTCTCTGTGAGTGAGTGAGTGAATGAATGAGTGTGTGAGTGTGTGTCTCTGTGTGAGTGTTTCTCTGTGTGTGTGTGTGTCTCTCTGTGAGTGAGTGAGTGAGTGAGTGTGAGTGAGTGAATGTGTGTGAGTGTCTCTGTGAGTGTTTCTCTGTGTGTGTGAGAGGGTGAGTGAGCGAGTGAGTGAGTACCTGATCTGTTTGAGTTCTCCTGTGAGTATCTGAAGGTAATACAGCACTCGACCCACAGCCAGAACCACCTGAGAGCTGTTGCAGGACGCCACGCTGATGGTCTTGCCCTGAGGCTCCTTCCACTCGCTCACCAGAGCCTTGCTGTCCTGCGTGACCAGCCTCACAGACACCGACGTGATCTGAACACAAACACGCGTGATCACAGGCATTTTGACATGACCACAGTGAAGTACAGCTCAGGTGTGTGTATGCGCACCTGTATGAGCTGCTGATGCACTACATTCCCACAGAAGAACGTCTGCTGATTATCCACAAACCCCGGCAGCTCCGTCTCCTCCACCTCCTCTCCACTCAGCATCAGCACCCTACACACACACACACACACACAGAGAGAGAGAGAGAGAGAGACACACACACACACACACACAGACACAGAGAGAGAGACACACAGACACACACACACACACACAGACACAGAGAGAGAGACACACAGACACACACACACACACACAGACACAGAGAGAGAGACACACAGACACACACACACACACACAGACACAGAGAGAGAGAGAGACACACACACACACACACACACACACACAGATGACAGTAGTGAGTAAGCGAGGTGTGTGTCAGCTCTAGACTGGAGTAAACCAAATGCTCTTCTCACCTGGTCTGACCAACAAATGACAGAACCAGCATGTCATCAGTGTCTCTGCCCGACTCGGAGCGGAGAGGCCACAGACCTGACAAACACACACACACACACACACACACACACACACACATTAGCATAAGTGTGTGTCAGAGCCCTGCTGATAAAGCAAGGAAGGAAGCAATATTTCTTCAGTTTGTAGGAAATGGTTTCGATGTCAGAAAAGCTTTTGCCAAATGCATAAGTATGCTGCAGATCAGCAGCAACCGGCAGAACCACTCATTTAATCGGATATTTGCTACAGAGAAACCAAACTGAACAGCACAAAGTTACGCTACAAAAACCATTGCAACGGCTCCACCTAAAACTGCAAAAGATTACATGATGTTACAGTCGTCATTAAGCAGCAATCAATCTGTGGATTAGGTTTGACAGGAAGTTCAGCTCTCAGGAGACGTCACGAAACGGATTACTGAGGTGAAAAGTGCTGCAATGAGGTTTTAAATTAGATTTTTTAATTTAAATTATTGTACTGAATTAACTTGTTAAATTGAATGACTCAATAATACATAAAGCTGATACAGGAATTTTGGATGATGCTAATAACTGGTACGCAGTTCAATATATTTAAAGAAATTAAAGTGCCTTCATTTAACAATTTACCCGGCTGAAACATCAGCAGTACAGTACAGCAGGAAAAGGAAATGAGCACAAATATACTGTGCATTCACAGCATGTAAGCGGCTAGTGATTAACATGAAGAGCACTTAACCACACCTTTGATGCCAGGCAGGTCGATGCTGGCGTGCTCATGGATCCCAATACCATTCCGAATTATCCTCAGAGAGCCTTCCTTAAACGCTCCGGAGCACGTCACCAGCTGCAGGAACACACACAGCAACTGATGACACACACTGAATCTGGATCAGGGCTCTTCAGGACCGCAGTGATGCGCAGACGTCCCTCACCTGACCCTGTCCTTGTCTCTCCAGGTCCACCACACACATGTCCACTATCGGCCCCAGGTTAGTGAAGGTCTCCATTACAGCCACATACGAACCCTGGTCATTACTGTCCACATTCAGCTGCAAACACACACAAACACCACGCTGGCCTTAAACACGCCATTATCACAGAACAATAATGAATCTGTGAGATTACCAACCTTAACTAGTTGAGAATCTCCTAGTCTGGATCCCACAAACACCACACCGTTATCCAGATACGTCAGACACTCGGCGATAGAGGTCTAGTGAACACAAACAGAGACGCTAGTCACATCTGTATCTGATTTAAGCATTGCCATTTGCAGCCATATTAAATCAACACCGAACGCATAAAGCAGACACATCCAGCGATCTACAGGCCGGACTGTGACTGAAAACTAATAGTTTGTCTGACTGCACATCTGCACTGTCACTTCACCTTTTAATCAGCCTAATGTTCCGGTGTTATGTATAAAAATCACCTTTCAACTCATTTCAGAGACTAACCTTTACTCCATTATATATATATATATATGACATGAAGAAACAGAATAAACTGAGACAGACTCAATCCAGAAGAACTGTGTCTCCGAGACGCTTCAAGAAACCTCCTGCAAAGCTACAGTGCTGTTAAAAGTTTAAGGCACTTGTGTAAAAATGCTGTAAAATGAGGATGCTGTCAAAAATAATGTCATAAATAGATTTTATTTATAAATCAACTTCTATTAACTAAATTAAAGGGCACCTATTATGCAAAATTCACTTTTACATTTTGTTTGAACATAAATGTGTGTTGGGAGTGTGTACACAACCACCCAATAATGATAAACATCCACCCGCCCCTTGTTTTTTAATCTCTATAAATCTTGAGCAGTGTCTCAGAGCAAGCCGATCACACATTACCAGCCCCGCCCACGATAGTTGATTGACACAGCCGTATCGGCCCTGAGTGAGCTGCACACACACTGTCCGCCATGCTTATCTTCACACCAGAGCATTTAAAAGCAGCATTCAAGAAATATCTTCTTATTAGAGCTATAGAAGTTGTTCAGTCCAGAGCAGTGAGTGATTTTCTGCTTGTTTGGGTCATCTTAACAGCGTAGACCCAAACAGCGGTCAGTATAGGTTCACAAACACATTCTGGGGACACCTGAGATTAATAATACATCTTGTAAAAAGGGGCATAATAGGTGGCCTTTAAATCAACATTTGGTGTGAGCATCTTTGTGTTTAAAGCAGCTTTTGCCCAAGGTGCACTCGAGCAGAGTTTCTCAGGAGCTTTGCAGGAGGTTTCTTGAAGGGTCTCGGAGACACAGTTCTTCTGGATTGAGTCTGTCTCAGTTTGTTCTGTTTCTTCATGTGACTCCAGACAGACTGATGATGATCAGATCACATCTCTGAGTGCAGCACTGGCTCCTGTCAGACAATAATCTCACTGGATTATTACAATTAATGACTAAATGAATGTTTGGAAATGTAAACTGATATTTCCTACTGACACACTACAGCAAAAGATAGAACATACTAGAAAATAGTAGTATTCTAATAATTGTGGCCACTACTGTATACCCACACACAGAACATAATCTAAGTCCTGAACTGATGTAGTGTCCTGCAGTCTGCTGAGAGGAGCACAGAGCATTAGGAGAGCGTGTGTAGTGTGGCGCAGCTCTGACGCACCTCTCCCAGCAGCTCCACATGCAGGTCTTTGAGCACCACAGCTCCGTCCATCAGCTCCTCTTTCTCCAGCAGCAGCATGAAGAGTCGGCCCTCCATGTCTCCCAGCAGGTACCGCGAGCCGTTCGGATCCACGCGGTTATGACACACGATGGTGCTTTGCTGTGATGTTTGAAACACGCTTTAATCACGGAGTACATGAGAATACAAACGACAGCTTGAAACGGACAGGAGGACATCAGCAGATGTGTTCACCTTGATAGTTGGAGGAGCGATGGCTAAGTATTTGTCTCCGTTGTGATAAGTGATGGACTCCTGTCCGATGATTATAGCTCCTCCAAACGGCTCTGGGACTGAATATATGTGAACACACAACATTTCACACCAATGACTCATAAACCAGCATGTCTATAACAGTCAGTCAACTTCATGAACATGAATGACAACAATTAAGTTTGGGTGAACAAAGCCTGTAAGAATGAATTTAACGAACAATTAAATAAGAGTGTAATAGACAATCTGTTATGAAGAAGTTAAGCAGAGGAGCTTTAAAATGGTAATTGAATCATTTTGGACTGTAAAAATCCTTTTAACAAAATAAATGATTCAAAACAGTAATTTATAATCGTTAATGAATCACTGGTTGATTAACAAATCAGAAAACACCGTTTACTTTATGATCAGACCAGATTTGTTTGCTGAAATGCATTTTTACAAGAAATACTCGTGCTGTCAATGGTAGCTTCAAGAGATGCTGCGTGTGAAGAACATTTACATGGTTCAGAAACTCTGCAACAACATGATTTATAAAACTAGCTCAATTCTGTTTAGCATAATGCTTATTTCCGAATCAGGGCTCTACGGATACTTTTCTTTTTAGGAGCGCTTGTGCTTCAAATTTAAATAATTTAGGAGCACGGTCAAAAATTTAGGAGCATCTTCTAATCAGTAATCAAAAATTCTGACAAAAAAAATTAACCTTCCCATTACGAGGTGATAGTTGACTCCTTAAAGTGATTTATAGGGAATTTTGTTTTTACCTTTGTAATGGCATTTTTCTAACTTTATTAAAAGTATGTCATCTTTTATGTAAAAATCAAAAAAATATATTTATAAGCTTTTTAACATTTCTAATTAAAACAATAGAATAAAAACAAGTAGACCCAATAATGATAAACATCCACCCGCCCCTTGTTTTTTAATCTCTATAAATCTTGAGCAGTGTCTCAGAGCAAGCCGATCACACATTACCAGCCCCGCCCACGATAGTTGATTGACACAGCCGTATCGGCCCTGAGTGAGCTGCACACACACTGTCCGCCATGCTTATCTTCACACCAGAGCATTTAAAAGCAGCATTCAAGAAATATCTTCTTATTAGAGCTATAGAAGTTGTTCAGTCCAGAGCAGTGAGTGATTTTCTGCTTGTTTGGGTCATCTTAACAGCGTAGACCCAAACAGCGGTCAGTATAGGTTCACAAACACATTCTGGGGACACCTGAGATTAATAATACATCTTGTAAAAAGGGGCATAATAGGTGGCCTTTAAATCAACATTTGGTGTGAGCATCTTTGTGTTTAAAGCAGCTTTTGCCCAAGGTGCACTCGAGCAGAGTTTCTCAGGAGCTTTGCAGGAGGTTTCTTGAAGGGTCTCGGAGACACAGTTCTTCTGGATTGAGTCTGTCTCAGTTTGTTCTGTTTCTTCATGTGACTCCAGACAGACTGATGATGATCAGATCACATCTCTGAGTGCAGCACTGGCTCCTGTCAGACAATAATCTCACTGGATTATTACAATTAATGACTAAATGAATGTTTGGAAATGTAAACTGATATTTCCTACTGACACACTACAGCAAAAGATAGAACATACTAGAAAATAGTAGTATTCTAATAATTGTGGCCACTACTGTATACCCACACACAGAACATAATCTAAGTCCTGAACTGATGTAGTGTCCTGCAGTCTGCTGAGAGGAGCACAGAGCATTAGGAGAGCGTGTGTAGTGTGGCGCAGCTCTGACGCACCTCTCCCAGCAGCTCCACATGCAGGTCTTTGAGCACCACAGCTCCGTCCATCAGCTCCTCTTTCTCCAGCAGCAGCATGAAGAGTCGGCCCTCCATGTCTCCCAGCAGGTACCGCGAGCCGTTCGGATCCACGCGGTTATGACACACGATGGTGCTTTGCTGTGATGTTTGAAACACGCTTTAATCACGGAGTACATGAGAATACAAACGACAGCTTGAAACGGACAGGAGGACATCAGCAGATGTGTTCACCTTGATAGTTGGAGGAGCGATGGCTAAGTATTTGTCTCCGTTGTGATAAGTGATGGACTCCTGTCCGATGATTATAGCTCCTCCAAACGGCTCTGGGACTGAATATATGTGAACACACAACATTTCACACCAATGACGCTCAGTCAACTTCATGAACATGAATCACTAGTCAAGTTTGGGTGAACAAAGCCTGTAAGAATGAATTTAACGAACAATTAAATAAGAGTGTAATAGACAATCTGTTATGAAGAAGTTAAGCAGAGGAGCTTTAAAATGGTAATTGAATCATTTTGGACTGTAAAAATCCTTTTAACAAAATAAATGATTCAAAACAGTAATTTATAATCGTTAATGAATCACTGGTTGATTAACAAATCAGAAAACACCGTTTACTTTATGATCAGACCAGATTTGTTTGCTGAAATGCATTTTTACAAGAAATACTCGTGCTGCCTATTTTAACTAAAGAGATGCTGCGTGTGAAGAACATTTACAGAGGGTTCAAATGTCTCAAACTCTGCATGATTTATAAAACCAGGCCTATCCTGATTAGCATCATGTTTGTTCCGGTACGAATGCAAGTTATTATACAGTATTTGTAATGATGTGGGTTTCTGCTCGAGCGGCCCGAGTTCAACAGATCTGAACAGTCGTCTGTGAAGCGTCACCTCACCTGGAATGACCATCGATGCTTCAGCTTCCACGTTCTCCTGCTTCCAGGGTCCTTTGTTGAACTCCTTCTCTCTGAGAGAAACCTCATATGTCTTGACGTGCCGACCCTGAGGATCCTGGACACACACAGCTGCATGAGCAGACGGGACACTCGCTCTCACACACATCGCGCAGGAAGATCCATACCTGATATATGAAGCAGACGGTGGGCGCCTGGCAGCCGTACAGGAACTGGACGTCTATGACCTGCAGCTCCTCCAGACGGATGTTGAAGGCTTTGAGCTCACGGTTATCACGGTCCAGAGGAATGACCTTAAACAGCCCGTCATACAGCCGCAAGCCGATCATACGACACTCCGGATCTACGATCCCGATGATCCCGGTCTCAGACGGACGGCCGATCCGATCCTGACACAGACGCAGCGGTCAGACGAGGCAGAGGCCGTATGATGCAGTGTGTTTGGACAGGTGTGTGGGTTACGGTCATACCTGCACGTTTCCGTGAGCGCGGGTGATGATGTCGATGCTGTCTCCGTTCTGCTTGTACTCCAGGATACAGGCGTTGTATTTAGCGGTCAGAATGAACAGAAGATCTTTGCTCTCACCCTGCACATAAAGCAAACAGACAGCTTTTAATAACATTATGCAAATCAGACAAGTGTTGACATGCTGCAGAAATCTGCATGAATAACTCAAGTTAGGGCTGTGCCAAAAATTGAATGTGATTTTCATGCACATCTCGTCAGTAAAGCCGCTCCTGTGATCAGCAGTAAATCTCCAGCACGTGCTTTCAGATGCATTTACTACACAGAGCCGTAGTTCACTGACAAGCTACACAAAACCACACAAGATTTTTTTGCACAGCCCTAACTCAAGTGCTCACAGAAGCAGCGTCGATCGACGTGTCTCTCAGTGGCTTATACTAGACCCCAATGGTGTTTCTGCACTGATACTAAAGATCTATGATTATATCATAATTGTTCTTTTAACTCTGACAATATTCAACAAGTCACTCACGTTGCAAAAAGCAAAACAAAAACACACCTTAATAGTGCACACTTTCACTGCCACCTACTGGAGGTTGTAGTTTCATATTTAAAAGTATCATTTTATTTAATTTTTTAAAACAAACAAAGAATTATTTCTGCAATAGTAATTGCAGCTCAGAGGTGGCATTAATGCATTTACACTGCATTAGCTGGTCTGTGTAAACACAAAGATACGGCTTCAGATGCAGCTCCCGCAGTGCAGTTAGAGAATAAGGAACGTATAAAGGTAAAACACCCTTGGAATCAACGTAAGGTGGGCAAATGTTGCCCTTTAATGGAAAAGTTCATACCTGTGTACAGATCAGTGCACAGAAAAGTCTGCCGTCCACGAGAAGACAAAACCAGCCCAAAAACATACTCGACAAAATCCCAGAAAACAGAGCTATCAATTTTGGTCAATATCACGCACACACATAACTGATATGAAATGCAGTTATGAGCACACTGTTCATGTGTAGAGCATCTGACTCCACGTGGAGCTGAAAAATAACTACACAATGCAACAGACTGTTAAATGAGATTAAAGCCAATTAGATGAAATAGTTAATATATTACAGTGCATGTTATATTATATACTGGCTGTGCACCCCTTTACCAGAATGCATTACTCCAGCCGTATGTGCCTCTAGAGCAGGGCCGGTGTCCTGCAGTTTAGCTCCAGCTTGCCTCAACACACCCGCTGGACGTTTCTGTGCCCAGTACGAGCTTGATTAGCTGCTTCAGGTGTTTAATTAGGGTTGGAGCTAAACTCTGCAAGACCCAGTTTGGACAGCCCTGATCTAGAAGCTTGCGCTCTGCAAGTGAACGTCGCTTTACTGTTCATCTCAAAGAGGCACAACATCACTTTCACAGAGTTTTACATGAACAGTTCCCTCCTCCTCATGCCCTGCCCAGCTCAGTCCCAGCAGCTTCAAGAATCGGCTACAACACATCTCTTCCATCTTTATTGGACCCTCTAACTCTAGCACTCTCTATTCTAATTATATTCTTTATAACAGAAAGAAAATCTCCCTTTTAGACTTTTCTTTTTATTTATTATACAATTAACCCTAAAAGCAAAACAGGCCTCTAACACTAGCTTGCTCTGTTCTTTTTCTATTCTATCGGTTTTCTTTTTATTTATTATATGATAAAACAAACCGTGCTGCGTTGAGCTGACTGAGGCTCGTGCACTTGTGTATCATTGCTCTCGTGTTGGTCCTGACCGCTTCTGTTGTCCTCCAGTGGAAGTTGCTTTGGATAAAAGCATCTGCTAAATGTCTAAATGTATTTATTTATATTATTCCCGGTTTCACAGAAAAGGCTAAAGTGCAGGGCTGAGGATTCAGCTGAAAGAAACTTGCACTGAACAGATCTTAAAATATATATCAGTGCCTTGGTTTTGTCTCCAGACGCGCACCAGTAAAGTTTGTCTTTTTCTTTTTAAAGGCACGTTTATAAAAACGACTGGAATGTCGTGATTGACCTGCGGCCTGACCGCGTCCGAGGCTTTGCCTACACCTGCTCAGATGCTCACACACACCTTGGGTCTGAAGAGCTCCCACACACACACACACACATCTGAAGAGCTCCATGACCGCGATCTTGCCGTACATGCCGACCTCTCTGACCGGCCGCAGACCCTCCGCGGTGACCACATAGATCTCCAGACGCGTGTTCTTGGCGATCAGCAGGTTCAGGTCCTCCGCAGAAGTGAAGTGACCTGCACACAGACATCAGCACTCACATGAGCCGCATGCACCTGCCACAGGTGTGTTTACCTGCAGCTCTGAACTAAAGTGTGGCTCATATTCACCAAAGCGCAGAAGCACCGTGAGCTCGGTCGGTGTTACAGACACACGCTGGCGGATCTAACCCGGTTTAATAGTCTGTGAGCGAAACACGACACTGACGCTAGGCCCGACGCGCGGGACATAAACAACGCTCACCCGTGACGCAGGCGTTCACCGCCGTGGGCTTCTGCGCCGTCACCACGTAGTTGTAGGACATGGCGTTCACTTCAATCACACGAGCAGCCAGAAATGAGGAGAAAGGGTGTTTAGAGCGAGATATGTCGCACGAATCCGCAGAAGAGCTCGGATCAGCAGCAGCAGCGCAGCGTCCGTGTGTCTGCGCCAGAGACAGCGCCGCCTGCGGTCTGGAGGAAGCAGTAAGCTATGTTCTTCTTCTTCTTCTTCTTCTTGTTCAATGGCCGTTCACTCCTTACGAGTATTACCGCCACCTACTGTATATCTTGCGCACATGGGTGATAAATCTGTATTGATATCAAGAAAAAAGAAAACAAAAACTTGTATCTTTCTTCTGCTCTTTCCCGGGCCTCCAACAATCTCATTTCAACAATGGGTTCAGGATATTCTATACCGATACCCCGTTTAATGGCATGTTGGGACAGATTTCTTCATTCTCCAGACCACTATCCTTGACCCACTGTTCATATTTCCATCCAAAACTATTCCCTCCATTCTTTTTATATTCCCAACGATCATTTAAAAGTGTGCGTGTACGACGACTCTTATTACTACCCTGTAGATGAACCCAAGCTTTTCTCTTCTTAAATCTAATGGCATCTAGAGGAGTTGCTCGTATTGCTCCACGGCAGACTCAAGCGCTCTGGACTGCATGTTGTCCAGTTCCTTTAATTCTGCACTGCACACCCATAGTCTATACTAGACCGCATTAAGGCTTGGTATACATGTAACACTGCACTTTTCCTTGCTCCCCATTCATACTTAGCTATTGAAGTCATGCCATTTATTACTCCTTTGCATTTGTTTTCAATTTTCTTAATATGTCTCTTCCAAGTTCATTTTTCATCAAATATTAATCCAAGATATTTGAACTCTGTCACTCTTTCTAACAATTAATCATATAATGCCTTCCCAATGCTTGGTTTAACTCGTTCACATATATCATTAATCATTACATTAAATAAAATTGGACCGATTACACGTCCTTGTGGAGCCCCATTCAGGATATCATACGATGCTGACATTTCTTCCCCTATTCTTACCTGGAATGTACGCTCAAACTAAAAATCTAATATCCAATTATACATTCTCCCCCTATTCCAATTTTATTTAACTTAATTAACAGTCCCTCCCTCCATAAAGTGTCATATGCCTTTTCAATGTAAAAGAAAACAGTGATAATCTTTAACTTGTCCGATTTCCTTTCCACTTGTGAAGTACCATTTACACTCCGCACAAATGAATGCCACAAAGTCAGTTTTAGTCATCATAATATGTAGATCTGATTCCTTCCTCTCAGGATTTACTCCTTTCTGGGTATAGGATTCCGCCCTGATTCCTTGCACATTAGTTCTCTTTGTTTCAACTATACCTTTGGCTTTTACCTTACGGGTAGCTTCTGCATATGTTAAATATAACACTGTTTTTATTTTTTCTACTTCACGAGCTTCTTGTTGTACAGGACATCCTCCCCCACAATTACAGCATTTCATCTCTACACCCTCCTCACACTTGCCATATTCATGTTCTGCCCCGCATTTTCCCTTTACAAAGATTTGCAGTATGTCCCATTCGTTGGCATTTGAAACATCTCAAAGGTGGAGGTATGAACTCTCGTACCAAGAAGCTTACAAATCCTAGCTTCACTCTTATCGGCAGAGTACTCCCTTCAAACTGAATCATTACGCTCATGCTTTCACATCGTTTATTGTCTTTCCACATCTGCAATCTTCTAGCAGAGATCACTGTGCCTCCACTCAGACTTCCTTTAATATCATCCATATTTACATTAAGTGGTACTCCTGAAATAACCCCTCGAACTTTAGTGCCTGTTTCGGTGCATGCTATCCTTCCTCCTGCCAGGGTTTTCATTTTCAGAATTTTTTGCTTCTGTTTTTCATTCTTGCATTTAATCATTATTCTTCCATTGCTTAGACAAGATACAGCTTTCACTATTCCTATCTCTTTCTCGATTGCTTTTGATAGTTTAACAGGATGAGTTTGTTGTTCTGACTGCTTAGCAAAAGTAATTATGACTTTAATTTCTCTTTCTTCCACCTCTTTATCAGCTTAAATTCTTGTATGTCTTACTTTATTAATTGTTTGCTCACAATCAGATCCATCACCCATGCTGCTCTTTTTTTCCTTTAATTGTATCTTACTTCCTGATAATCCATGTCTTGATCATTGTCGCCATCCGAAGTACCTCCCCACGCCATTCTCCCTTCCACCATCTTTCCACCAACACCCGGACTTCCTCTGGCAGCTCGAGAACCCTAAACACTAGCTATGTTTCCATCCAAAGATGCAAATTAAACTTATGCGCAAAACTGGAATATTGCATAAAACATTTGCGAATAAAGCACCGTTTCCATCCAACGAGTCAAAGAGAACAAAATCATCACTTCCTGATAAACTGGCACTAAATATCTCTAAGAAAACTAGGAGAAGCCACTGAATATAATAATTTTCATATGTAATAAATGACTTGCGCCTCAGAGAGAGCAGACGTAACACGATAAATGCGGTCATTGCTTTCAGAGCTGGATGCTGCTGTTTGGGAACGCAGTCGTGTAAGACAGTAATTATACAGAAGTACTTTGATGACAGACTTTCCTCAGGCCTTTCAGAACGACCAAAACAACCTATAGATGCTGTGAACGAGATCGGTCCGCTGGTTAGTCAAGTTATCCCGTCTCATAGCGCAAAGTCACTTGACTTTTCCGATGCGCATGGTGGAATTTATTCAGTAAATTTGTTTCCATCGTAGTTTATGCACATTTTTTGTTATCGGATAAAATTTTTTTATGCGATAATCCAAAATGCACATAAAAATAGGTGGATGGAAACATAGCTACTGACTCTACACTGCGCTCAACTCGAGGATGAAAATGCTACTGGAGGTGATGATTGACCTGGTTCCCTAAAATCCAGATCAGGCTACAGCGCGTTTGATGTTCATATTATGCTTTTTCACTTTTTCAACTTTAGTTAGTCTGTAATGTTGCTGTTTGAGCATTAAAAAGATCTGCAAAGTTACAAAGCTCAAAGTCCAATTCAAAAGGAGATATTTTATTTAACAGAAATCACTTTTCAAAAACTACAACGAACGACTCGTTTGGACTACAATGGATATATTCTGGGATTTGTGATATCACAAATATCAACGAATGGGACGAGACCTGGTTGAGCTGCACCAGAGAAGGCAACGAGTGTTATCACTATGTCGGAGGCACGCTAGCTTTCCCAAAGCAGACGAACTTAGAGTGGTTACAATCATCCGGGTTTAAATCCTGCTCAGATTGACTTGATTTTGACGCAATATTTACACTGAAGCTGGCAGGTGGCTATGGTAAGGGGCATGACATTTCCCGACCGAGTGCTGCCAATCACAGCACACAGTGCATGTTTTCAGACTTTTCATCGGTCTGAAAAGTGAGGTGTGCTGTGATTGGCCAGCTATCCAGTGCGTTGTGATTGGCCGAATACCTAAAGCGTGTGACGGAAATGTTACGCCCCTCACCATACTGTGCTGATGCCCTGCCTGGCCGGAGCGTAAACTTATAAAGAATATCTCTTTGGGTTTGAGACTTTAGTCTTTGCAACTTTACAGATCTTCTTTATGCACCAAGAGCTTGTAACACTCCAAAGAGAAAGGAAAAATTTAAATCGCATCATATGACCCCTTTAAAATTCCATCGAAAACCCTTCCCTTTTTCCTTTGTATATTCCCAACAATTATTAAGCACAATCTCCTAATTAAAAAAGAAACAGATGCAAACTTCATGATTGGTCCCTTTTCCGTCCCTCCCTTTAATGTTTTCCATGTTAGCCCCATCGATGTAGCTACCAGGAAATTCTCAGCTAAAAAACGTCTCATAATCGATCTCTCATCCCCGCATAATTTCCCGTTCCCAAGCGTTAACAGCCTCATTCTGCTCTAAGAATTTTCTCCCCACTACCATGACGTTGACCAAGCCATTACCTTGATCAAAGACGTGGGTCGCGGCGCTTGGCTGGCCAAAGTCGACATCACCTCTGCCTTTAAAGTGATGCCCATCCACCCGGATTTTTGGCACTTATTCGGCATCCGCTGGCATAATAAATTTTACTTTTCCGTCCGCCTCACTTTCGGCTGCAGAAGCAGCCCTAAAATTATCGACATGTTGTCAGAGGCAATCTGCTGGATCCTCTCCAACAATTACGCAATACCTTACCTGATCCATCTTTTAAACGATTTCTTAATCATCTCGCCTCCTGACTCCATCCCAGCCGCGCATCTTTTGACAACCCAAAAGGTTTTTGCAGAGCTCGGGATTCCTCTTGCCCAAGACACCTCCATCGAATTTTTGGGTATCAACTTAGATTCACAAAAATTCCAGGCTTCTCTGCCAAAGGAAATAATTGATAGGACGATTTTGGTTGCTTCCACCCTCTTAGACAACCCAAGCTGCTCTAAATGCAAGCTGCTATCCATTCTCAGTAATTTAAATTTCACGATGCGCATCATCCCGCAGGGCCGCCCTTTTATCTCACATCTCCTGTCTCTCGCATCCGCCGCCCATGCTAGAGGATAGAATATCCGTCCACTAGAGGATCGAATATCACTAACTGACTTGTGCTGCAACGAGCTCAGCTTATGGATATCCTTTCTTAAACAATGGAACGGCCTATCTTTCTTTTATAATAACTTGATTTCTTCTCCCGTCGACATTCAGTTATTTACTGACGCCACCCCCTCCGTCGGTTTCGGAGGATTTTACCAAGACCACTGGTTTGCATATACGTGGCCCCCCAGCTGTTAGACTTACCACAGCCGCTCTATTCGAGCTATATCCCTTAGTCGCTATATCCCTAAGTTATTTACTGACGCCATCCCCTCCGTCGGTTTCGGAGGATTTTACCAAGACCACTGGTTTGCATATACGTGGCCCCCCAGCTGTTAGACTTACCACAGCCGCTCTATTCGAGCTATATCCCTTAGTCGCTATATCCCTAAGTTATTTACTGACGCCATCCCCTCCGTCGGTTTCGGAGGATTTTACCAAGACCACTGGTTTGCATATACGTGGCCCCCCAGCTGTTAGACTTACCACAGCCGCTCTATTCGAGCTATATCCCTTAGTCGTCGCAGCCCTTCTGTGGGGTAAAGAGTGGTCTGCCACCAGCATCATTATCCACTGCGACAACGAGGCTACCATGCACTGCATCAATAAAGGCTGTTGCCATTCACCCGCCCTAATGCCTTTGTTAAGATGCCTGATTTGGATCTCGGCTTGCGACCAATTCATTGTAAATGCAAAACATATTCTTGGTTCCAAAAACCAAATAGCTGACTCTCTCTCTCGCTTTGCCTTCCAGAAATTCACAACGTTGGCACCAGAGGCGGATCCAATCCCAACCCCAGTACCTCCCAATTCAGAACTGATATTCCCATAAACCATCCACTGAGACCTCTCCTCGAAGCTTCCCTCTACTCTATTCTTCAAGCCGTCTCCCTCAGGACCCTCCAATCTTACCTAATAGCATGGAAGTGCTTTAAAGCATTTCACTCTGCTTACAATCTGTCGTTCTCCAACTTTTCCTTGCTCGCCATCACCTCATTCATCTCTCACCTTAACATCAACAAAAACCTACAAATCAGCTCCATTAAAGATTATCTAAGCGGAATTCAATTTTTCCACAAACTCTTATACGGTTCACCCTCAGCCCAGATAGCCAATTCTCAGACCTCCCTACTCATCAAAGGTATCCAAAGAGCCCATCCCGCAGGAGCCTGTTCCGTATTTACCCACTGCCGCAGCAGTGCCCGCTCCCGCTGGAGCCTTTTCTGTATTTCCCCACTGGCCCAGCAGCACCCCACTCCCGCAGGAGCCTTACCTAATTCCCACACTGCCTCAGCAGTGCCCGCTCCCGCAGGAGCCTTTTCCATATTTCCCCACTGCCGCAGTAGTATCCGCTCCCGCAGGAGCCTTTTCTGTATTTCCCCACTGCCGCAGTAGTATCCGCTCCCGCAGG